AAAACCAGGACATGTACATTATCTCTTCTGCTTACCCTCATCTGACTTGGGTTATGTACCGAGGTGTATATGGAGGCTGTGGGGTGTTACTGGATTAAAGCAGAGTAATAAGATGCAAAGCTGAGGAAATGGCTGTTATATATAATTTACTATTTAGGGACTTCATTTAAAAAGGTAAAAAGTGGTCATGGGCCCTAGCCCTATTTCTGAACTCAGCACATGTTGGAGGATAACCAGATGAAAATCATAGGTCAGCATAAAGTTGTAGAATAATTAAGTGACTAGATGTTTTGAGAAATGTTTATAGAATTATAAATAAGGTTTTCTCAATAGAAGAAATCTTAGTTTTAAAACTTGTTGGAAAATCTACAAGAAAAAGGGTGATAAATTTTTGTGGTATATAGCCTTATTTTATCTTTCTGAGTTTCTGTCTTATCCCTAAGAGTGACCAAGTTACCAGATATTTCTAATAACTTAAAAGTCCATAGATATTTAGATTGCAGTGGACACTTAAATGTCTACTGAATCTCTGTAAAAGGTAATATAGATGACCAAATTTCCAAGATTATGTTCTGGCTGGCCAGTGTACTTCCTTGTCTCACTTTGTCCTTATTCTCTCTACCTGGGGTAATGTCTTTTTGTTTCTTGTTTTTGAGGAATTTCTGTATAAGTCATAGCATAATCTTAATTTTCTTTGTGAAATTTATATTGATCCATCTCTACACCTACAATATATAATGCATATTTTCACTGTAGCATTTGCAATGTGGTTTTCAAATTTTTCTTTGGAGATTTATCTCTCTTCTAAGCTGGGATACATGTTATAGCTGGAATCTCCATCTGTGTCTGCCAGGTCCTTGGTCTCAGAGATTCAAAGAATGAACCCACAGACCACTGCGAGTAAGCAAAATGACAGATTTTATTGACAGATAAGAAGACAGATAAGGAAGCCTCTGCTGCAGTGAAGGAGTAACTTGAGTGAGCAGCCCATCTGGGTCTTCTATCTAGGTTTTTATATATACTGCTTTTTCAATCCTACAGTCAAGGAAGTTTGGGAAAATGGAATGTATGTCTGGGATATGTCATAACTGTTTGGCACCAGAAGTCTTTGGGCAGAAGTGAATTTTAAAATTGCCCCTTTGTAGGAATGTGATCCCACTTAGGTGTGTTTTCTGGTCCAGAGGGACACATCTTATTTAAGCCACACATCTGTGGCTCAGATGAGATAATGGTCAGGCTAGTTTGTTCACTTAGGCCCAGAAAATGGGGATCCCTTTCCAGTCCTGAATGAAGGAACCCATGAAAATATTTAGTTTGTACTTTGGCAGATTTTATCACTGTAAAATTTTTGGAAGACACTATCTACTTTTGTAACATTGCTTTCCAGAGGTTTCTACCATGCATCATCTTTCTAGCTGTGTTCTGAACACTAATTTTTGTCTTTTTAGTACTACAAGACTGCCAATATTATGTTGTGATTTTATATCTGCTTTCTTCATTTGCCTTATGCAGATTTAGATGAAAGAAACAGCTCTACAAGAAGAGTAGCATAGATTTTTAGGCTTGCATTTTTATATCTCTTTTCATTGTGAGATCTTGGTTACTCACATCCTGGCTGCTTTTGAATCTCCAGATGAATTTTTTCACCTTTGAGCAGTAATAATTTGGCAAGGCTCAGACTTTTCCTTGAATTTGGGTTGTTTCCCTCTTTCCTGGTCATCAGCCTCTTCCTCTGCTTCTACATTCATTAAAAACCCATGGAAAATGATGAGTAGGAAGTTATGCTCAACTTAGTGAGTTTTCTCTCCTCCAGGATCCTTGTCCTTGTCTCTGTTGCCTTATGCAGTCATTCTCTTGCATAATTCATGAGGAGTAGAACAATAAATTTTAGAAATATAAAAATATAAACTATAGCAGAGAAGATGTAGACAGAAGAGCAAAGGAAACTAATGAAACATGCTATTGAAGTGGGTGTCAAAAGCTTATATTGACTGACCAGTTGTTAAGGAGGAACTTTGACTTCTGTTATAACTTGGAAAGAAGAAAAGATGTAGACTATATCATTGGAAAAGAAAAAGTAGAGGACCCTTGGCCCATAGTTCTGTATAGAGAGGGAGGTTTCATAAGAGAACTCTCTAGTGGATATCATTTAGTTTATGCTGAGAATCCTGGGAGACTACAGTCCCCTTCTCAGTAGAAACAGGGTACTGTGCCACTATAAATACCTACCTATACTTACTTAGCAAGCTCTGGGTGTAGAGAGATGTCAGATTATGTTTTGAAAGTTCAGCCTCTCTGAGCTATCTGGAAAGCATGGTAAGGCTACGGTATACCAGTTTGAGTTATAGGAAATAGTGTGAGAGATAAGGAATGAGTTCATGCAAAAATAAGGTAAAGATGGGGAGGGAAAATAGATATATTGTTCAGAGTGTTGGTAAAGGATGAAGAAAGAACACACAGGCCAATGTTGGGCATTTCAAATATTATACTTATAAAATGGCTACACGTTTTCCTACAGGTTTATCTATCTCTTTGTATCTTACAAATGCAACTACAGATAAGATGCAGACAGAAATTCTGTGTCAAACCAGTTACTTTTTCTCACCTTATAAGCTATGAACCAAATGGTAATATTTGGTCAAGAGCCTATGCCATGGGACTGAAAATTAGGCTGGGATTAGATAAAACGTGTACAGTAGCATGTTCCAATCTCTGTACTACCGACATATAGGGCTAGATAATTCTGTTCTGTGGGGAGGTGTGGGTTTCAGAATGTTTAGCCAGATTTTCTGACATCTATGTACTGATATCTGTAACACTTGTCTCGAGTTGTGATAATTACAAATCTCTCCAGACATTGTCATATATCCCTGAGTAGCAAACTCATCTCTTGTTGTAAACCACTGATGCAGAGAATCTATTCTATTCATCTTTATCAGTTTTAGGACATAGTGTTCATGTTTGTGGGCCAAGGTAGGTACATTGGGTAATGGCCATGGAATATGGTGAAGTAATAATTAACATAATGCACAAGTGAGAAAATTGCTTTTGATAAATTCATTTCAGGATGTTAGAAACCACAGTCTCAGTGGAGAGACTGGAGCCCATTCTTATCTTTGCACCTGGAAAAGGTTTTAGAAGCCATGAATAGTGTTGGTAGAATAGGTTAGTATATTCTTATGGAAAATGCATAAATGACTAGTTGTCTTACTCATTGTTTATTGATTTGAAAGTGTAGTTATATCAGCTCTTAAGAAGGCACCGATTGCAGAAATGCTCTTGTAAAATCAAGATTGAGAATAAAATAGGCATTTCTCTTTGGATAAAACCATAATAATTCTAAAAACCCCTGCTGTAGGCAGGATTTAAGAGTGACTCAGACATTATTGAGTTAAAGCTAGAGTCATCAATCTCCAGAATCTGAAGAAAGTCACATAGAGGGCCATAAAGACTAGGTCCTGGGTGGGAACTCATCTTGCAAAATAGGATCACTAATAATTTTGATTTTTGTTCTCAATTTGTATATGATTTTCTCTCCAGCTAGAATAACCCCCCCATATCATCTGTCTATAAAACTATAGTTTTCTTTGGTCTTTTTTACCTCCTTTATGGAGCTTATTTTGTCATACTTCATGCCAATAGCATTTTTAGTATTTTTCTACCATAATGCTATGATGCTTTTCTTATATGTTTATCTCTGATGAGTACCACTCAAATCTGAACTCTCACTATTTCCATGCATCCATTCCAAGAGTGTATAATTTCTACACTATTTTCAAAATTGTTTCATCTCAGGAAGTTACCAAACAAACTTGTCTTTCCTTACTGTTTTAAAATACTAATTCAGAATAAATAAATTTACATTTTTGACACTGAACCTACTTGGCATAGAAAAAATCATCTAATAAATTTGTTTTTATTTAAGAAGTCTTAAAAGAAGACTTTCAGAAAAACATTAAATCTGTGATAGAGGACAGGTTTGTTGAACTCCGGTCTCAAAGGTGTCTAAAGCAATATGCCTTTTGCCATCTATAAACAAGGTTAGATAGGATTTAAATAGAGTGGATTCAAGAAATTAGAGACTTTTTAGGTACCCTTGATTGTCAATCCCAAGCTTCATTAATAAATTTGAAATTTGACCATTTTAATTTAAAGTACCTTATAAACTCAAGTTTTACCTTGAGTTTAAAAGTCTTGGGGCAAAATGTTTTTATCCATGTCTTTATTCATGATCTAAAATATTCTAGATGGGAATGACTTTTCAAAGACTAAGTTAAGATGGAAGCTATGTTGCTAATGATACAGAACATTCTGGTTGTTGTCATAATGTGTGTCTTTCTCCTTTTACTCCTTTGCTGAACAAACATGTTATCTGAGATTTAATATGTTTATAAAGGTTTAAGTGCATAAATTTAAAAAAGTAAATTTGTTATCTCTGTGTTCAGAATCAGATATCCAACAGTATACACATACATTTAAATATATACATATAAATGTAATAATTTATACATAAATATATGTTAAGTATACATTAATAGGTATTATAAATATTTATGATCTTCAAGTTCCCTAGTAGGACAATGGATTGGATTACTTATGCTAAAGAATTGTTCATGTACCTTAAGTGTAATGTGTGTAATATTTCCAGATGCAAAGAACAAAACCTTCATTATTCTAACTTTTTACCCTGAATATTGACCTAATAAGATCAATATTGGTCTTCTACTCCTCTCTGGTAGATGGTATTCTACTCCTGTCTCTTCAAATTCAACATTTTATGTGTGAAAGGATCTGGATAAAAACAAGGCTGGGTCTGTATCTGGAACCATCTTCTCTTCAGGTGAGAGTGGCAGAAAGTGTTGATAACATAGAACAGCAGAAAAGGAATATTAACATGTTACTTTACCTTTTACCAGGAGTCTGGAAAAAGATGAAAATGAGTAACAAATCACTGATGGAAAATCAATATCTGACTCTGATATGCACAATCACCAATAGTGGCAAGAAGAATGTCCATTTCTAACGAAACCCAGTTCCATCCTTCTTCCTTCCTATTGCTTGGCATCCCAGGGCTAGAAGACGTACACATCTGGATTGGATTCCCTTTTTTCTTTATGTATCTTGTTGCACTCCTGGGGAATGCTACTATCCTGTATGTAATCCAGACTGAACACAGTCTCCATGAACCCATGTACTACTTCCTGGCCATGCTGGATTCCATTGACCTGGGATTGTCTACAGCCACCATCCCCAAAATGCTGGGCATCTTCTGGTTCAGCCTCAGGGAAATATCTTTTGAAAACTGTCTTTCCCAGATGTTCTTTATTCATTTCTTCACTGCCATGGAGAGCATTGTGTTGGTGGCCATGGCTTTTGACCGCTATATTGCCATTTGCAACCCCCTTCGGTACACGATGATCCTCACCAGCAAAATCATCTGCCTCATTGCAGGCATTGCTATCCTGAGGAGTCTGTGCATGGTGGTTCCACTGGTGTTTCTGCTCCTGAGGCTTCCCTTCTGTGGGCACCATATCATTTCTCATACTTACTGTGAGCACATGGGCATTGCCCGTCTGGCCTGTTCCAGCATCAAAGTCAACATTATATTTGGTCTTGGGGATATGTTTATATTATTATTAGATGTAATTTTTATTATTCTTTCCTATGTTCACATTCTCTATGCTGTCTTCTGCTTGCCCTCCTGGGAGGCCCGGCTCAAAGCTCTCAATACCTGTGGCTCCCACATTGGTGTTATCTTAGCTTTTTTCATGCCAGCATTTTTCTCTTTTTTAACACATCGTTTTGGCCACAACATCCCACAATATATCCATATCTTCTTAGCCAATCTATATGTGGTTTTTCCACCAGCCCTCAATCCTGTGATCTATGGAGTTAGGACCAAGCAGATTCGGGAGCGAATATTGAGAATTTTTTTCATAAAAAATGATTAATCATCAGTAGTCTCAGATTGTCTTGTAGTTAATTGTTTCTTCCATATGTTCATTAGAAGGCATTTAATGCCTAAAAGGATAGGGTGCAAACGGGGAACATAAATAGTAATGACACTCCTTTATCCACAACCTTTTGAATTGAAGGATACTAATGACTCTAGTGATGATAATATTATAATCTGTAAGAATTATACCTTTCATGAAGTGATTATATTTCTACATTGTTTGATCCCCAATGTAACCCTATAAAGAAGTTATTCTTTAGTTTTCATTAATAATTTGATTTTTAAGACTGTAAAATGTCTCTCCTGAAAATCCAGCTATTAGTAGAAGGTAGATAATTAGGCTATATAATATTTAAATTGTAGCAGTTTCTGAAACACACAAAGGAAAATGAAAGCAATGAGAAAAAGTTTGCTCAGGCATGATACATAACTTTGCTGACAGAGTTCTAAATGTAATCACAATGGCACTGTTCAACTCATTAGCATTTATTGTTCTAAATAACTTACTTATATTGACACATTAGTTTCTTATTGGAATTCTACGATGTGGCAACTGCTAATATTTTTATATTTATATGAGTAAACTATGGTTCATAAAATTCTCTATAACAGATTATAATTGAGAATTTGAATCTAGGTACCTAGAACAGAAGAAGCTATTCATTTAAAAATGGACAAGAGAACAGGGTATAGTGGTGTATAATTATGGAAGGTACATTCAGTAAATGAATATTTGTGAACTTCTGTATATTTTATGTTTTATTTGGCTGTTTGGTGACAAAAAGATAAAGTGATAGAATCTTATATTTTGAGATACCAAGAGTGGGAGACAATTTAGGCTAAGAATATTACATTATAGATTTATGTGTTAAACTATGTGTAGGAGGATTTTTAGAAATTTTGAAATAATATATAAAACAGATTTCAGAGTTTAAGCCAATTATGTTGAAGATGGCTGCACAAAGTTGAAAATATAATTGACGTCTTTTTACTCTCTCTGATAATCATAGGTCAAATTCTTGACCTAGTTCCTAAAAAAGTGTCATTTGTAATTACATCCAAGTGAATCTACCAGAGTTATGTTATCCCTTGTACTTCTATTACATCTTTTTTCAATTTGTTTTTTTATTAAGTCATATGCACATAGATCATGAATACATTTATGAATATGTGGAGTACAATGTGTTGATTTTTTTATACAATCTGACGTGCTTACATCAAACCAATCAACATAGCTTTTGCCTCATTTACTTGATTACTGTGTGAAGACATTTATGTTCTACACTTGACAGATTTGACTTATAAGTCTTTTGATTTTTTTTGTCATTTTAACAGCATGGAAATTCGATGGGCACTTGGACTTCTTTCATGACTTAGCAATTATAAATTGGGCTGCAATAAACATTCTGATACAAATATCTTTGTTGTAATGTGATTTTTGGTCTTCTAGATATATACCCAATAAAGGAATTGTAGGATCAAATGGCAGGTCTATTTTTAGTTCTCTAAGTGTTCTCCAGACGTCTTTCCAAAAGGAATGTATTAATTTGCATTCGCACCAGCAGTGTAGAAGCATTCCCTTTTCTCCACATCCATACCAGGGGCAGTGCCTGTGGCTCAAAGGGGTAGGGTGCCGACCCCATAAGCTGGAGGTGGCAGGTTCAAACCCAGCCCCGGCCAAAAATTGCAAAAAAATAAAAGTATACTTTATCGTTTCTCGGCCTTTTGGCTAAGATCAAGTGTAGTATCTCCACATCTACGCCAAAATCACTGGTTTTGGGATTTTGTGATATGAGCTGATCTTACTGGAGTTAGGTGATATCTCAAAGTAGTTTTGATTTGCATTTCTCTGATGCTTAAGGATGGTGAGCATTTTTTCATATATCTGTAGGCCACGCACCTAACTTCTTTAGAGAAGTTTTTTTCTGCCCACCCTGAGATGGGATCACTTGTTCTTTTCTTGCTAATATGTTTGAGTTCTCTGTGGATTCTGGTTATTAAACCTTTGTCAGAGACATAAACTGCAATTATTTTCTCCCATTCTGAGCGCTGTCTGCTTGCTTTACTTACTGTGGTCTTGGCTGTGCAGAAGCTCTTTAGTTTGATCAGGTCCCAATAGTGTAATTTTGATGTTGCTTCAATTGCCCAGGGGCATCTACCTCATAAAATATTCGCCCAGGCTGATTCCTTCAAATGTTTTCCCTACACATTCTTCTAGTATTTTTATGGTTTCATGTCTTAAGTTTAAATCTTTAACCCAGTGAGAGTCTATTTTAGTTAATGGTGAAAGGTGTGGGTCCAGTTTCAGTCTTCTACAGGTTGCCAGCTCGTTTGCCCAGCACTATTTGTTAAATAGGAAATATTTTCCCCACTCAATGTTTTTAATTGGCTTGTCAAAGATCAGCTAACGGTAAGTAGCTGGATTCATCTGTTGGCTCTCTATTCTGTTCCATACATCTACCTCTCTGTTTTTGTGCCAGTACCATGCTGTTTTGATCACTATTGATTTATAGTATAGTCTGAGGTCTGGTAACGTGATTCCTCCTGTTTTGTTTTTATTTCTGAGTAATGTCTTGGCTATTCAAAGTTTTTTATGATTCCATATAAAATGAAGTATTTTTGTTTTTTCAAGATCTGTAAAGTATGACAGTGGAACTTTAATAGGGATTGCATTAAAATTATATATTGCTTTGGGAAGTATGAACATTTTAACAATATTGATTCTTCCCAGTCATGAGCATGCTAAGTTTTTCCATTTGTTAACATTTTCAGCCATTTCATTTCTTAGAGTTTCATAGTTCTCTTTATAAAGATATTTCACGTCCTTTGTTAGATAAACTCCCAAATATTTCATCTTCTTTGGCAGTACTGTGAACGGAATTGAGTCCTTGACTGTTTTTTCAGCTTGGCTGCTGTTGGTATATATAAAGGCTACCAATTTATGAGTGTTGATTTTGTAACCTGAGAAGCTGCTGTATTCCTTTATCACTTCTAAAAGTTTTATAGTAGAATCTCTGGTGTTTTCCAGATATACAATTATATCATATGCAAAGAGTGGAAGTTTAATCTCTTCTGATCCTATATGGATACCCTTGATCACCTTTTCTTCCCTAATTGCAATGGTTAAAACTTCCATTACAATGCTAAAGAGCAATGGAGACAATGGGCAACCTTTCCTGGTTCCTGATCTGAGTGGAAATGATTTCAATTTAATTCTATTCACTACAATATTGGCTGTGGGTTTGCTGTAGATGGCATCTATCTGTTTAAGAAATGTTCCTTCTATACCAATTTTCTTAAGTGTTCTGATCATGAAGGGATTCTGGATATTATCAAAAGCTTTTTCTGCATCAATTGAGAGAATCGTATAGTCTTTTTTAAAATTTGTTTATTTGATGAATTATATTTATAGATTTACGTATGTTGAACCATCCTTAAGATCCTGGGATAAAACCCACTTGGTCATGGTGTATGATTTGTTTGATGTGTTGCTGGATTCTGTTGGTTAGGATCTTGTTGAATATTTTTGCATCAATATTCATTAGT